CACTCCACCCTGGGTGACAGAATGAGACTCAACTAAAAAAATATATATGTATATATATGATATAAAAAGACAAAAAAGAAAAACAGATGCTGGCGAGGATGTGAAGAAAAGGGAATCATACACTGGATGGGAATGTAAATTAGAACAGCCTCTATGGGAAAAAGTATGGAAATTTCTTAAAAAACTAAAATTAGAACTATCCTCTGATACAGCAAACTCACTACTGCTTATTTATCCAAAGGAAAAGAAATCAGTACATGAAAGGAACACCTGCACACCCATGTCTGTTGCTGCATTATTTACAACAGCAAAGACATGGAATCAACCTAAGTGTCCATCAGTGGGTGGAGAAAATGTGACATAGGTACCCCAAGCAATACTACTCAGCCATAAACAAAAAGAAATTCTGTCATTTGCAGCAACATGGATGGGGCTGGAGGTCATTCTGTTAAGTGAAGTAAGCCAGGCACAGGAAGATAATTTTCACACTCATATGTGGAAGCTAAAAAAGTTCATCACATGGAGGTGGAGTGGAATGATAGATACCACAGCATGATGGGAAAGGTACATGGGTGAGAGAGGGGATGGAGAAAGGTTAGCTAATGGTACAAATATACAGTTAGATAGATGGAGTAACTTCTGACATTTGACAGCAGAGTAGGGTGACTATAGGTAACAACAATGTATTATATTTTCCAAAATAGCTAGAAGAGAGGACTTGAAATGTACCCAACACATAAAAATGACAAATACTTGGGCAATGGATACCCTAAATGCCCTGACTTGATCATTACACATTCTATACATGTAACAAAATACACACGTACCCCAGAAATGTGTATACATATAATGTATCAAATATATATACATATATTTATGATACCTGTAGATGGTGATAAGAGGTAATGAAGAAAATGTTTTTTGTGTTTCACAAATACATTTAAAGTTTACCATATGTGTGATGGTACGAGCCTGTAGCCTCAGTTGCTTGGGAGACTGAGGTGGAAGGATCACCTGAGTCCAGGAGGTTGAAACTGTAGTGAGCCGTGATCCTACCACTGCACTGCAGCCTGGGTGACAGAATGAGATCCTATCTCAAAAAAAAAAAAAAAAAAGGCCAAAGGGAAGAATCAAGGTTAACTCTGCCAAGTCTTAAGTAAGGAGAGACTTTATTCAAAAAGACTATTGTGACAGTGGAAAGAAAGTACTGCTAAGACAGTGAACAAGATCAGAATCTGCTTACCCAGGATATGTTGTCTAGTGAAACTAATTTTTTTTCCCTACTCCTATCTCATGTTGTCATCAGCAGGTAGAAAGATGGTGGTGCCTTTCAAAGAGGTGAAGAAGGAGATGAGAGAAGGGGTGGGGACTAGCTGGGTGGGAAGGTGATGAAGCCCATTCTGCTGGGGGGAGGTGGGAGCAGCAGGGGGATCAAGAATTCTCCTTTGGCTCCTTGAAGTGTGAGATGTCTGTTGGCTATGACAGGGGTAGAGCAGAGTGGGCAGACAGGTTGACTGGGATCTCCTGGAACCCTCCAAAACATGGCAAAGGAGGAACTGAGAACTGGCATCTACTTCATGACAACAGAGTATGTGTCAGCCTTCCCGCCCCTCTTTTTTAAGTTTTAGGGCACAATTCTGGGATGTCTGGGGCTAAGATCCAGGCTTGAGGAGCCTGTAGTCAAAGGATCCCCGAACTCCAGAAAATACTCTAGTTATATTCTTGAAACAAAGAAGGGTGGGGGAACTCTGGCCCAGAGAAAGAAGCTTAGAATAAAAATTGCCAGATTGCAAAGATTCTAAGAGTCAAATGTTCTCCACATACACATTTGTTGAAACTCATCTAAGAATACAATTAACATGTATGTATTTCACTACATGCAAGTTTACCTTGGGGAACAAAAAATACCTTTAAACAAATATTAGACTTTAGCAAGTGGCATGCATGCAGATGTATTTGGGAGTGTAGTGTACTGTTATCTGCAACTGACTTTGAAACATTAAAATGACTGACAGGGTAAGATAAATAGATACACAACAGAGAAAGGATAACACAATGTTATTGGTGGAATGTAGGTGATGGTTATACAGGTATTCACCATGTGTTTGAAAGTTTTCATAATAAAATATTAAATGAAAGCGCAGGCTGGGCACAGTGGCTCATGCCTGTAATCTCAGTACTTTGAGAGCCCAAGGTAGGAGGATTACTTGAGGCCAGGAGGTCAAGACCAAACTAGGCAACATAGCAAGACCCCATCTCTACAAAAAATAAAAATAAGCCAGCTGTGGTAGTGCCCACATGTAGTCCTAGCTAGTTGGGAGACAGAGTCAGAAGGATTGCCTGAGCCCAGAAGATCAAGGCTGCAGTGAGCTGTAATTGAGCCACTGCACTCCAGCCTGGGTGACAGAATGAGGCCCTGACCCAAAATAAATAAAATGCTAAGTTTTTTTCCAGAACACTGCAAAGCGGCCCCTGCAGATCTCACTAACCTCATCTCCTGCATTCAATCTTTGACGCAAACATTTATTGAGCACCTACTGTGTGCCAGGCACTGCACTAGATGCTGGGGACACAGCGATGAACCAAATCTACAATAATTCATGCCCAAGGGAATCTGACATTCAGCCTTCTTCCTCAAGAAGCCCATTCTGCTGGCAGGCCTCCACACTTCCTGAAATTGTCTTGATTTCACCCTCATTTGCATGTGGATATAAGCTCAGGGCAAAGCCCTGCTCTCCCTGACTGCAATCACATCCTCAGTCTAGATCAGTCTTGATTATAGTTAGACCTCAATAACAATTGGTTGGGGAAATGTTTGCTAACGTTTACTTAGTACTGGCTACACGTGCACCTGGCCCTGTTTTAAATTGTGGCCACATGTGTTCCTATGTGATCCTGAAAACCGGCCCCATTTTACAAAAAGAGTATGGAAAAGCTATGGATTCGAGTAGTCTGGCTTCAGCCATCCTGCTCCTAACCACCATACAACCAGCCTCTAGGTGAATGACTCAATCAACCACGCGGGCTGGCCTGGGTTCAAATGCAAACTCTGCCGTGTATTCACCTCTCTGGATTTCAGATTCATTATCGTTAAAGGCCAAGTCCTCCAGCCTAGTTTGTGAAGATAGTGGAAGAAATTGGCTCAAGACACCACACACAGTCACGCACGGACGCACACCCCGATAACGAGGGGGGGGTGAGGGAGGGCGGCGCGGGGTCACCTCCAGGCGCGGGGTGTGGCCTCCTCCTGGCGGCCAAAGTCTCCGGCTCGCGGGTTCCTTCCGTTTGCCTACTCCCCACCTGGGGCCGGTGGCGCTGCCTCCGCCCGCCCAAATCCCGGGCAAGCCTGGGCGACCTGGATGACATCTGCTCAAGCGCGTGTCCCCGACACCCGGCGGCGGCGGTGGGCCGAGCGAAATCCGGCGGCGGGGGGATGAACCCCCAA